CGAGCGCGCATTCTCAGGTATTGTTATGCCCCCAATCACGGTGACCCTAGATTTTCTTGGTGCATTATCAACCCCATTTTAACTATTATCAGAAACGTAAGGAATTCGTTTGCGGTTGTTTCTTGAAGCTGAGACGTGTGAATTGCCCAAAAGGTTTTCGAATTTCCGTTGTAAGGTTATTTTGGCATTAGATCTAATAAAATCGCATATCAATATTGACCCACCAACTATCCTCCTCCAAAGGCGATCCTCCAAATACAAAGCACAAAAATGTTCCTTCGTTGCACACTTCTTCATTCTGGCAAACATCTCGTTCTGCTTGCTTCGTAGTGCAGCTCGAAGTAGTTCNTATTTGATGTTTCTTGCTTGGCCTGATAGCGGAGTCGATCTTGAAGCTCATAAAGGTTGCATGCTATCCTACGCAGGGTCGTTTTAGAAATGGGCTATGATGGTGCAAAACTTGGGCCCAATTCTAATAGCGAGCGCGCATTCTCAGGTATTGTTATGCCCCCAATCACGGTGACCCTAGATTTTCTTGGTGCATTATCAACCCCATTTTAACTATTATCAGAAACGTAAGGAATTCGTTTGCGGTTGTTTCTTGAAGCTGAGACGTGTGAATTGCCCAAAAGGTTTTCGAATTTCCGTTGTAAGGTTATTTTGGCATTAGATCTAATAAAATCGCATATCAATATTGACCCACCAACTATCCTCCTCCAAAGGCGATCCTCCAAATACAAAGCACAAAAATGTTCCTTCGTTGCACACTTCTTCATTCTGGCAAACATCTCGTTCTGCTTGCTTCGTAGTGCAGCTCGAAGTAGTTCTATTTCGATGTCTCGTACTTGTTGGCTGCCCTCTCGTTGACCGCATATCTCGTGAAGTCGCTTTCGTTTTATAAACTTCGGCACGACTCGATGTTGAAAACAGCGGCGGAGGAAGTTGATTTGCTGTCTAGCTAAGACAATCTTCTGTCTTAGTGACAATGGTTCCTTCACAAGTCGAAAGTATTTTGCTGGTACATCTTGTAATAGTTCCCAGGATCGACTTTCTCTTAACCTCGGCATTGGAATATGAATGTGTCGTTTTCTTGTTCAGCAATCGCGAGGTTTTTAAACAGCATACATTTACTTCCATAAAAACACAATACAATACAACGCTAGCTGACGTTTCGGCAGTATCACCTTCTTCAATGTTATTTGATTTTTTCTTACCGTTACTCAGTAGGCCTCTTGTCTTTGCAGTTCAAATTGTAGTTTTTAGCAACCTGTTGACATAGCCTTACCCCACGTTTTCTTCGAGATCCATGTTAGATTGAAGCGATCAGGTAGATCAGATCGCACCATTGAACAAGTGATTTAAGTGAGCACAGGCAACCAAAGTGATTCAAGTTGTCTTCTAGGTAGCTCATTCTGCGCTTTTATCATATTATTCCAACGTCTTGATTTATATTGTCCATCATTGGTTTCGATCTCACAATTCAAACAATGTATGGCATTAAAAACGAGTTATTTACTTACACGGATGGACACTTGGATGGCCTGTCATAACTGGTGCTCTAGCATAATTTACATTTGCTGGTATAGTCACTGTAGTTTGCTGGAGTCCCGATGTCAGATGAAGGCCTAGTGGTAGCCTTCCTCAAATCGTCACTAGCCCAGGAAGCCGCCGCTCTTGTGGATCAGAAAGAAATTCTGAGGTTAATCGTTAATGATTATCTCAATTGCTTTTCAGGAAGCCATAAGTGTTCGGACTAGACGTCGGAGTGCAATCATCTTTGTTTTGTAATTGGTGAAGCTTTCGTCCTTACAGATGCTGTTCCCAGCCTTCGCCTCTTCGACCAGAACTGTTGCTCTTCCCTTTTTAAGATATTCTTTTATCGCCTGTCTGCACTGTTTCGAAAGTTCGGGCGTTAGTTCGCGGCTGCGTGCAACTCTTGATATTCCACGCTGTCGTATCAGCTCGAGTACTTCTCGAGGCAGACTTCTCTTGGTGGCTTTTGAACTCTCAGCTTTTATAGCGCTAACATGAAGATTTTGAATGAGTCGATCGTATTCGTCAACGATGTCATCGACAACGGCTTCTTTCGAACAGCCGACAAATGAATTGAATAAGTCCCAGTTTATGGTGGTTCTAGAGCTCCGGTTTTGAATTCAGCGGCTTTTCTTCGTATTTTTGTTGAGCAAACGCGAGGTGTTACTATTCTTTGTTCACGATTAAGCTGACGTTTCGGCGGATTTCGCCTTCTTCAGAGCCTGGAAAGGTCAAGTTGATAGCAACTCACTCGGCCAGACGCCTCCATAACCAAACAAAGAAACCCCAAACCAAGATTTCAATCACTTTGAACACGGCTTTGCACACTCACCGCTTTCTATGAGGTCTCCACTAAGTATGTCACGTAGAGACCAACCGCACAGAAATCACGTGGAAGTATAATGTGCCCCTCACATCAGAAAAGCAGTTTTATATACTGCCCTATATCACGCGTGATAATGAGGCATTCTTCCCTGCGGTTCATTTTCGGATTTCTGGAATTAATCCAGAGTGCCTCGAGAGTTTTTCGCGCCTGTGTTCTTGATTCGCGTGCGAGGATCGTGACACATACTTCGAAGTCGTCCCCGTTATGTCCCTGGGTCCTATGCGTGCCTAGCGGGGTATTTGGTCTATTTTTGCCGGCTAGGTGTTCTCTTTCATGCGGACACAGAGGTGTCTACCCGTCTCGCCAATATATTCGTCACCACACGTCTTACAGGAGATCAGATAATCTATACCCGAGCTCAGCGGCTTTTATTCTCCTTTTGGCGAAAAATAGAACCTTGCACGAAGGAGACGATGCTTCGATCCCGTTCAGAATTTTAGGACAGCAGCGACATCGGTTAGGCAAAACCTGTTTACTATGTTGCGGTCTATTTCGTTATGATACTCTCCATAGTGAGACTCCCACGTCCAGCGTTGAGGGTTGTGCTTCTGGAACTGAGAGTTACCACGGATGGTCTTGGTCGCCATGATAAACTCAGATTGACGCTCACCCTGTTCGTTCCATTCTAATTCATGGGTCCCAATGTGACGTTCCTCAGACCTTCTTCTTTGTCCAATCTTGGCGTTCAAATCTCCAATGATTACCTTGAAGAATATACGGTCTTCTCTGTAGAACTTCTTTAAGTCCGTATAAAACTTTTCGACTAGTAAACGACGAATATTGTCAAAGCCGGTGTTGATCCACATTTCATCAATCGTAAACCTCCGATTTGGATTGTTAGTTGTTCGAATGAATCCAATATTCATGGACAAACTCGTGTTTACGAGAACGTCAATGCCACCGACTCTTCTATTATCGCATTTTCCGAGGAACACTTCTTCTCCGGTGCCATAGACGGCGTTGAAAGTGGCGTCGTCTGGTCTCGGCCTGGAAGAGAACGCCGTACCTTATCCACCTCGCTTGCATGATCCAGTTTTTTATCAAGTACTCGGAGGATGCAAGTGTTCGTACCTTTTAGGTAAAGGTCGTCACTTTGGTTCTTTGCAGTTTACGCAGCTTAAAATGGCCCTGAGATTTTAGCAGCCTTTCCGTACTCGTCCTACGCAACGCTGCTAAATCGGGTGCTCTTTTGTGGTCAGAGGAATGAGGCCCGTTTCTTTTAGTGTTTTACCTTTCATACCAACGTATAGCTTGCTGGGCTCTGAACATGATAGCTGCGCATACTTATGAGTAGCTTGCCAGGCTCTCTCAGAGTGGAAATCGAGCTTATTTGTTGGAAGCGACTCCTTACCGCCTCTCTCATGTTCCTTGTCGCTTTATCGCAGGTTTTTGGCCGAGTTGGCTTGTAAAATGAAATCCGCATTAACTAGAACGCACCCACACACACATGCATGAATATGCTTCGTAAATACAGAAAGTTTGTGCCAAATCGGTTCAGCAAAAACAGGGAGTCCATCTCCTAGACCCACCTGCGTTTCAGGGATGCAAAGGTCGTTTTTGGCCCACAATTAACCCGCTATCCTCCACCTGGGGATGCGCCACGTAGCCTCGCGGCTAATCGGCTATCTGGATGCCTCATATGAGGGAGATCCGTGGAAAACTAAGCATACCCACGGCTGGTTTTTTGGGCCCTTCCAGAAAAGACATCGGGCATTTTTGATGGCCAAACTGTTTCTCACACACCTTCCCAGCAAAGCCTTATTTGTTTTAGTCCAACAACGCTCAGGGTGTAATCTAAACACGTGGAAGCATATTATGTGAATTTATGTTTATATGAAACTAACAAATGGTGTCCAGACCAGTGTGGAGAGGTAGTTGGGCAATTCAACCACCATAAGCCAATTTATTCCACCTACTTCCTAGGGGTACTACCACGTCGCTTTCAGTGCCCACTCAACCCTCCGTTCGTCATCTAAGCATGTCTTACGTACTCATTGGCTAACATCCATAGTGCTCCTGTGTAAGAGAGAGCCGTTAGATTGCAAACTCAAGAAATGAGGATTTGAGGTAAAACACTTTAAAAAGTGCTGTTTTCATGCAACTCAGTGACATTCACGACGAACTTTCCGACATATTTGCGAAATTTTCCACTTCGAACGCTTCGATCAGAAAACAGGTAATTGTCGAGAAAGTGAGAGAAATGAAGGCAAAACAAGCAGCAGCGGTGAGTTCTGATGAACATGATGATGAGAGTATAGTGTCAGTTTGTGCCGATAATTAGGTCACCCATGTGGAAATCTTTGCTCTTGAGAAGATTTGCCTAAATTCGTGAGAAATTCAGGCTGTAATCGTTTCAAAAACGAAGTGAAATGTGAATTTACGCGTATATGTGTTCTCTGAATAGGCGTTGTTCATTGCGGTGGGAACGCTTTTCAATTGAGCGAAGTGGATTGCTTGTGCAAATCTACGCTGAGTGAATGACAAGCCAATGTCTTTGTGCACAAAAGTGTTCGCCGCTGTTTTGTTCCACTTTTTGATGATTTGAGCAAATTTTATTCCATATTACCCAGTAACGGCATGTCTTCTTGAGATTGATCTGGAAGATCCTATTTTTATTCTCAAAGGCAAAAGCTGGGCTAAAAATCATTAATTTAAAAGACGTCTAGTTGGTTGCTACCTCATAGGTCTATATAAGGTAACCAAAATGACTTGAATGACACATAATAGTTTGCAGCTGTGCGATTGCAACATGAAGAGTGCCTCGTCCACTGCACCTAAACCTCATGAGCTAATTTTTGTTGTGACTCCACTAAAAAGTTGAAGAGACACTAGATTCCTTTTTTCATTTCAGATTCTTCCGGAACATCAGCGAGCTACACTTTTTGAAGCGTCCCGGTTCTTTCTGTTCTGCGGAAGTCTGTATTCTTTGTTAAGAATAAAGACGTTGCTCTAAAAAAGAGTATGATTGTGTCAGCAATCATGAGAGTAAAGTACATCCCAAAGAAGAAAAAACCTGAGCGGCGCAAATAAGGCGCACACATTTTTTTTCTGCAATCTCACGATGATTGTTGTGAGAGACACTTATTACAGTGCAATGTTTTATCAAAATCGCCGTTCTTTTGGAGTTTGATTCAGAGTCGTAGAACTCTAATGAAGTGGCTTATAACAAGATATGGGTTTTAACTTAAAAAGGCATTGCACTTTTACCACTGAAGATATAAACAAGTAGCAGGCCTAGTCATTATCAAACCATCCTTCATGGAGAGCTTTAAGAAGGCTGCAATCTATGCTGCGTCATAATTACATTTGCAACCAAGCAAGAGTTTGATAGCGAAAGTGCATTTTTGAGCTGGCGTTAGGTTGACGTCCAATGTGGCGTTGCACCGAGATTGTTGAACGCTTGTTCTAACTCGTGGTAATCACTCAAGCTCTGTACTTACCTAATTTGATTACTTCGGTGGCTTGTCTTCGTGAGTAAGCTGATTCGTGAATCGCCGTCCACGGCGGTGGTCTTCCTCGAACATCGTCACCATGCTAGTCTTCCATATATGACGGTAAGAATAAAAAAAGCTTGTCAGTATCGCAAAATAATGCAGTGCTGTCTATTTCAGCAGTTTTGGCACGTGGTTTTCGGCTTTTTTCCTCGAAATGGATTCAGAAACCGGTCACAACCAATGTTGTCTTTCAAAATGTGCCTAGCACATACGTAGTCCACACTAAGACATAGCAACAAATAAAGGCGAAGCAGGCAGTGAATAGAGTCCGTACTGCAATGTCAGACTTGGTTCCTTACCTCACAATGAAAATTTCATTTATGGATATAGTGTATTTGTAGAAACATACTGACGCCAGTTCACTACGAGACACGACCAATAAAGGCAGAGATTCTGCAATAACGAGTGAGGTTGATATTATAGAATTTATTGGCTTATAATAGCTGATGTTTCTTCGACATCGCCTTCTTTAGAGCTTGGAAATGTCAAATTGACATGCAGTCTACTAAACCAAACACTTTCATAACCCTAGCAGATAAAACTTAACACCTAAATTTCTACTCGCATGATAAACAGCTTTATTTCAACACCTACCGTTTATTCGCTGAAAGTATTTTAGTTCCCAAGATCGACTTTCTCTTAACCTCGGCATTTGAATATGAATGTGTCGTTTTCTTGTTCAGCAATCGCGAGGTTTTTAAACAGCACACATTTACTTCCATAAAAACACAATACAATACAACGCTAGCTGACGTTTCGGCAGTATCGCCTTCTTCAGAGCCTGGAAGGGTATACTGATATACAATCTACTAGGCCAAACGCTTTTTTTTTTTTTTTTCAAAGACGAAAGACTCTTTGGTAACTACACGATCAACAACTTCTCGAAAAACCCACCGCTTTTTCGT